GGCTGCTGGGTGCTTGAGGTGCCAGCATAGAAACTATTAAGTAGTCCCTTTGTTCCTTCCCCAGCCTGAGGTCAGTTAGGGTGATACCATTGCAACTACAGTGGTTCAGGCACTGTGGGTAGTCTCTGGAATTTTCTCCTCAGAGCACTGCAGAGCTGCCTTCCATTGAAGTGTTCAGGTGGAGGCAGGTTAGTTGTGCTGTAGTCCCAGGTCAGGGACCCACGTGAAAATGTCTGACCACTTTTTCCATGAGGCAGCTGCATTATGCTGGGGATCTACAGCAGTCTATAGACATTGAGCACCCTGTGAAGCCTGAAGGCAATAGCAACAGCAGCAAGGGCTGCACGACATCAAAAATGGTGGCTTGCCTCTCCCTGTGGGAGCCCCATCTCAGGGAAGTGTAAAGCTACTACCAGACTGAGAGCCATGGTGGGGTGTGGCTGGAGTACTGCATCAGTGGGCCTTATCCTGGGAGGTACAGTAGAGGTGAGACCTGAAGTCCATCACTGCTCAGCCACCTGAATTTGGCCCCTTTCCTGGGGGTATACAAGGAACCCTGACCTCTCCTGTTGCCAGAGCTACAGCTTCTAATCCCAGGATGCCCAGGGATCCAAGGCTCCTAGGACTCTGCATATGCATGAGTGGCAGTTCTGCCCAGACTCCACGTAACTCTGCATGACGGTCTGAAGGCCCCAGCGGGGTGGCCTCATGAGGTGATCTTCTCAGCCTCAGGTTGCAAAGGTCCATGGAAGAAGTATAGGCCCCTGGGTACTCTCACTCACTCAACATTTCCCTACAGTAGGGAAGCCTCCTTTGGTTCTGTGTCACTTACAAGTGGGCAATCGTCCTGTCTCACTCTTCCACATTCTCCATCGGTCAAGTTGTTTCCCTGAGGAATCTCAATGGGTACACCTGGATGTTTCAGTTGAAGATCTAGTATTCACTCACTACTTCTTCTTCTTCTCTCTGTGAGAGTGGTGCCCACTAGCTGCTTCTGGTCAACCACCTTGACATTCCCTCTTTCTGTTATCCTATTTTAATCATGTTTTAAAATATGACTATAGTATCAAGTGTTTTACATCTTTAATATTTGACATACTTCCCCAAATTGTATTTCAAATTCTAAAATTAAATCTTTTTAATCTAAACTAACTCATGCATAACAAATTCGAACCTGTGGAAGTCCAAGTGTTACTGGTGGAGGGTCTTGACTATGAGTTTAGGTTCTTGGCATTTTGAATAAATAATTGGACAAAACCTACAACAAAGCAATGAGGAAATGAAGCAATAAAAGCACAGATTTATTGAAATGAAAGTAGACTCCAGAGCAGGAGTGGGCTTGAGCAGTTGGCTCAAGAGCACTGGTTAGAGAATATTCTGGGGTTTAAATACCCTGTAGAGGATTCCCACTGGTTACTTGGTTTACACCCTCTATAAATGCAGGAGTGGCTCATGACAGTCTGATTTGTCATGAAATCAGGCTGAAATGAGGTTACAAAGTTAAACCCCTATGCAAATAAAGACTTGGTCCATGACCAGTCTGATTGGTTGTGGGAGAGGACCAATTAGAGGCACTTTCCATTTCTCATCTGTGATATAGAAAGCAGGGGTGGAGGGGTTGCAGAGGGAGTAGACTCTGTTCTTCTGTTACTTGGCCATGGAAAGTTGGAGTTTTCCTTTTGATTTACTTCTAGGAAGACAGTGTGAATCAGCCTTACATTCCCTGCCTCCAGATTCTCTTCTGTATCACTAGAGATACATAATAGGCTTATTCAGTGTATAAAAATCATATGGGAAACATTGTTAGGTAAGAATAGTGTTTAACTTTCTTCAGATTATATTTTTATAAGAATGTTATTAATGTGACTTCCAAAATTGAATGAGAGTCCTAAAATTATGGTGTGCTCTGATATATGTCATCAGTCATAATTATGATAATTATGTTAAACTGTTGTATACCACACACACACACAAAAAAAAAAAAAACAAAACAAATTTTCTTGCCAATTGCTTCTTTAACCATGGTTATTCTAAGCATTTTTGGCATCCACAGGTAATTATTAATTTATTTTGGATCTTCTCAGAAAGCAATTTATAATCAGCTACTGTACCAAATTTGCTACTTCTTAAAAAAAATTCATAGAAAAGACCCTGTCAATTCCTCTTGAATACAGGTTATTAATAGCTTTGGAGATAATACCACTGGACTAGGCAAAAACTTAAAGAATTTTTTAAAAAACTGATACTTTTGTAAACATTGCTATGCTAACATCAAGCAGATCAAGATTTAATTAGATGGGACTAAAAGGTTGGAGGACAAAAATAATTTTATATGGCTTTTTGTTTGAAACATTGCTGATCCTTTTTGTTTCCTAGAATAAAAGTAACATTTTTCCTAAGGGTTTTTTTTTTT